AAATTTAAAAAAATTAGCTGGGCATGGTGGCAGGCTTCTGAAGTCCCAGTTACTCAGGAGGCTGAGGCACAAGAATTGCTTGAGCCCAGGAAGCAGAGGTTGCAGTAAGCCAAGACCACACCGCTGCATTCCAGCCTAGGCAACAGAGCAAGACTCTGTCTCAAAAAAATTAACGTAAATTATTCCAGGAAAAAAAAATTAATTTACCAGGAGGCTGAGGTGGGAGGACTGCTGGAGCCCAGCAGTTCCAGACTGCAGTAAGCTAGGATGGCACCACAGCAATCAAGCATGGGCAACACAGTGAGAACCTATCTCTTAAACAAAAAATCTAATTGGAATTACGCTACAATCAGCAGATTACAAGTGAAAAATTTGTAAAATATTAATATCCTGTTGTACATTGATGACAGGAAAAAATTCTTGATTGTATAAAGAAGGGCCTACTTTTTTGATGAGATGAAAAATTCTCCATAATGGGCAGAATTTAGGAAAAGGATAGGCCTGTGAGACATACCATTTTGTTTTTGGTTGATAATAGCCACAAAACAGAAGTATAAGGAGCTCAATTCAAATAATAAAGCTTTGTTAATAAAAAGAGATCGGTCCCCAACATTAGCAGTCTACATACTACAGCCTAGATAGACCAGAGTCCAATAGCAACAAAAATGACAAATAAGTTTTGGGAACTGGTTGAAAGAAATTGGGTCTGTAAGCTTAATTTCAGGATGAGAAACTCATAGTACTGGATTAGAAAATAATAAGAAACATGTGTGGAAGTATACATAACGCTGCCTACCATGTTTATATTCTTTTATATCCCTTTTTTCACTAAAGTGTTACTTTTGGCAGTAAAAGCAATTTGCTTAAGAATAATGATTCAGATTTCTGGCTTCTCTCTTAAACATTTATCAAGAAAATGACTGTCAGGCTGGGTTACCAAACGTATACAATCTAGCACAGTAATTATCAAATAAGTGATTATCAAAGGCCAATGAGAGGCAGGCCAAGGAGTGAACTTGCCCAGACACCAGAATAAATTATATTAGATGTTTGTGCAAGCCAACATATTGTATCAAATTTGATACATATTTTTCAAGCTGTTATAGATGAGTCTGATGTTAAGAAACAGTGCATTGACACAGTGCCCTCAAACTGGTCCCCAGAACTTAAGAAAAACTCTTTAAGCGCTGGGTGTGGTGGTTCATGCCTGTAATCTCAGCCTTTTGGGAGGTCAATGTGGGGAGGATCGCTTGAGCCCAGGAGTTTGAGACCAGCCTGGGCAACTTCATGTTCAGAAATTCCCTGGGTTACGACCCTGTCTCTATAAAAAAATAAAAAAATTAGCTGGATGTGGTGGCATGTGCCTATGATCCCAGGTACATGGGAGGCTGAGGCAGGGAAGTTAAGGCTGCAGTGAGTCATGTTCGCACCACTGCACTACAGCCTAAGTAACAGAGCAAATTAAAAAAAAAAAATTAACTCTTCAAGAATACTCAACTGTTCAACTACACTAGTCTATAGCTGTATATAAAGCTCTATCATATAGCATCATACTTACAACAATGCAGGTAGTACAGACAGTTACAACAAGAACACTGGAGGAGGAAAAAAGGGCTGGGAACCAAGCAGGATACTTAATATTTAAAAAACTCATGGTCCTTTCTCATAGATTTAGTACGTTTAAAAAAAAAAAAAAAAAAAAGGATTTAAAAGGACTTTCCTTTTACCTCTCCTGTTATCTGAAAGTATCCGAAAAATATTTTTCTGACAAATTCTACTTCTAACCGTAAGCTAGAAGTAGATTGTCTACAAGTTGTTTCACTGAGGTTTTTTTTTTGGTGAAGTACTTGAAGAAACCTCGATTCCTGATTTCAGAGATACACTCAGGCAATATTTTATGAGTTCGTTTAAGCTAATTCACATGAGGGAGAGCTACAAAAGCATGAAAAACCGTTTACTTTTTCTCCTTCATACAGTTCACTTTCTTATTAATTCTCTGTACATTAAACTATTCTAAAGTAAAATTTACTCAAACCTTGGAAGAAACATCAGCAATTAAAAAGTATGACTGGTTGATGATCTAAGATTTTGGTGATTTTTGTTTTTTAATTTAGCACTATTTTTACAAATCTCTATTCTTATAACCCCTACATTTTCTCTTATCTCTTCCTCTCTTCTTCGCTCTACACCTAACACCTGAAGAAGCAAACTCCAAGCCTTTAATTTGCCTCTAAGAATTGCAGAGGCAAAAACCAATCCAATAATTTAGATTTCTACAATGTAAACTAGTGTAAGATTAATCCTGTTTAATTTTCATATTGGTTCTCTCTGGAACCTTAATGGCACAGGATATCAATATCACAGGATATCAATAACACATGGTTTCACCGCGTTAGCCAGGATGGTCTTGATCTCTTGACCTTGTGATTCGCCTGCCTCGGCCTCCCAAAATGCTGGTTACAGGTGTGAGCCACCACGCCAGGCCAACAGTTTTGTTTTTTTAACAGGTTTTCTAAGGGTCTTTAATATGTTGATTTGCACTATGAATCTTTAATCTTTTCCTCTATACACCGATTTGCATCTCCTGGAAAGTATTCTAAATTTACATCAGCTTGAAAAGTCCTGACTTCATTCACAAGTCAGTTATCAGGAAAGGAGGGATTTTGCTGCTATTTTAAAGTGGCAGGTTCCTTGCCTCTTTCAAATTCTAAGAGAAAACATGATTTTTAATTCAAAACTAACTGTAATTATGTTTTTATATTTTAAATGTACACAAGCATAAAAAACTGGCAGTAAAAGCATCTGAAGTTGTCAATAAATTATCACTGGTTTTGGAGGATTATGTATATTTTTCATATGCTTTTCCATGTAATCCATGTTTTCTAAAATGAACATTATTTTGATAATCAGATATAAAGTTTGTTTTGTTTTAGAGACTGATGTCTCAACATCATCTAAATCTTTAAATTTATCATAGAAAGCATATTACCCCAGATGGGGAAAAGGAATACAACAAATAAAACTGCCATTTAGAAAATTCCTTTCAAACAGTGTTCATAAATGTTTAAATCATAAAAGCATAAAAAAGGTAAACTTTCTGAATTATGTATTTACAGCAAAACAAGAATTCTGAAATAAGAACTTCTCATCCTGGGTATAGCACCAATCTAAAATATTTTGAAAGGAACAACCTTATCTTTGTTTTAGCTATTAAAAAATGTTTTAGCACTTAACATGAATATTTGCCAAAACATTAAGTTACAGATGAGAAATTCTGTAAATCCTTTAAGATATGGACAAAAAAATAAATCTTTCGACAGTTTTTTAAGACAGTAGCGGAATGTCTAATCCAATCAAACTTTTAAGAATTAGTGGCCAAGAGAATTCAAATTCTGTACTTAATATAAATAAATGAATAGAATAAAATAATAATGGAAGTGGCCAAAGCTCATTTTAATTTTTCTAAACATGTCAAGAATGGTTTGCATTAAATGTTCTAAGTATGTCTTTTATAAAAGCTAGGAGCAAAAAATGTATCCAAGAGAAGTTTACAAAAAAACCCAGAGTTTCTTTTAGCTGTATCTAATTCAGTTTTAAGAACAGAAACATTGTTTGCCATCTTAAGTAACTAGATTATACTTTAATGTAAGCAGCCAAAATCTGTGCTACTCACATAAGGAGGTACAGTGCTTACATGGAGAACTAAAGGACAAAAATATTCTAATTCTTTATTTGTAGCTAAGCATCATATGTAACAAAATTGTGTGCCATTTCCTACCATCTATTAAAATTTATATTATCACATCTACATATTTTTAAATCTTACTAATTTTCTGCACTGGTAGCTTAAAATATTCAGGTTGCTTAATTTTACTGGTGTGAAATACATCCATTCATCATCCATCAATACTTACTGGATATTAAGGTTCGGGTTGAGGCCAATTTTTCTATTATTGTCATCGATTAAACTGAAAAATCAACTCCAATTTCATTATAATTAATTATATTATGGTTTCAAAGTTAACAAAACAAGTAGGTTTCTTTGAGTTAGCACAATTTGCACATTGTATGATTTTATTTATGCCCAAAATTTTTCTTTTAAACAAAACTGATCTATGGTGATGAACAGCAAAAAGTTGTTATAATTGTGTGGAGGGGAGGAGTGCGTGGTGACTGACTCAAAAAGGTCACTGGGAAACTTTCCGAGGTAGTGGAAATGTACTATAATTTGTTTGTGGTGATGGTTAATAGGGGTGTGTACAATTTTCAAAACTCATTCAACTGAGTCTATGGATCTACACATTTTATTACATGTTAATTAAAATTTAATGAAAGAGCAGACCATCCCAGTACTGGAGACCAAGGACCTGAGGCAGAACCTGAAAGCTAAACAGGTTTTGAAGCTCCTTGGAAGTCAGGGCTTCACAGAATGGTTTAAAAATGAGTGAGTCCTTAGAATTCTATATATGATTACATGTAATATAAATACAAAGATTTATTCCAAAGCAACTTTTAGATGATATACTTTTCCCAAATACTGATTGCCCTTACTTAGTTCCATTCCTATAGACAATACAGAATAAATTATTCAAGATTTACCATATTGTCAGTCAAAACAATGGGAAATTAAAAGTCAGTGCTGATTATCTTTCTAAGTCATCTTTTACAAGACATCTATGATATAAATATATACTACTACTTCTTTTAACCACCTGAGAGGAAGAAAAAAACATGAGCAAAAAAAAAAAAACAATTGGCCATTTACAACCAAAAATACTGGACATTGGCACAGCACTAAACTTAGCACTTCCAGAATGAACTGCAAGGACAGCATTAGAGTTCAAATAACTCAAAATGTTGATTTCTCAATCATTTTCCCAGTTTCCCACACCTCCCCCAAAGAAATTAACTTTAAAGAGTTTATTTGATTAAGCAAAATTTGAAAGCAGAGGATTAAAAAGTGAAAAAGGTGGTGCAGAAATTAGCAGAGGTGGCACTACCTGAAAGCTCATCAGAAAGGGGAGTGAGAACAATATCAGGCAAGAAGGGTTTGGAAGTATGGATCAGAACAGGAGCACTTTTAGCACTGCGTATATAGGCCGATGGCAGAGCACATTCACCAATGGATCGGCTTCTCATGGCTTTAAAAAAGGAAAAGAAAGAAGTGGGGAAGGAAAAAAGAAGAGTGACTATAATGAAAGGCTCGTGTCACAGAAAAAGCAGCAACAGAGAAAACTAAAAGGTACAAAGGAAGGAAATTATAAATTAAAACATTTCAGCACGGCAAATACTGGCAAGCTGTAAGAAAAGAAATCAGAGAACACACACAACATTTTGAATATAATTTTTTTATATAAAGCAGGAAAATGCTATTATTAGCAGTTACAATGGAATAGCATTAAACAACAGCAGACATCTTAATTAGCATTATGTTCTCAAAACCAAGGGTTGAGAAATTCACTGAATGGAAACATTGAAAATAACTCAATATTAATAATTCAAAGAAACTTTTGGAACAATATTTGGGCATATCTCTAGGCAATCCTGAGCCATTCTTCTTAAAAAGGCTGAATTATAAGAACAAATCATTCCTACTTTCATACTCTTTAACAAAGTTTTCTAAATCACTCAATGGTCTTTCTTAGAAATTTTCAGGTAATTCATAGTCAAAAGGATTTAATCTCATGGCTAGTATGTGTTTCTGGGAAGAGAATGCTAATCAAATCAGTATCTTTTATAATAAGGTATAAGAGTATAATTAAAATTTTTACATAGAAACATTTATAGAAAACACAATTTGCACAGCATGAAAAATTGGGTTCTTGATACAAATAGATAATTTTATGCTTATTCAAATCATAAACACAAAAACAAAATTGTTTTCAAAGATAGCTTTAAACTGGATTACTTTTTAAAAATTGCATTTGTAGTTGTATTTGATAATTTCTTAGGAGAGTCCCTGGTTCACAAAAATTACAGATAAATTATAGTTCACTTAGAAATAATCAAGTTTATACTTCCCAGAGATTTTTTAAAAAAACATTTATTTCAAGGATTCTTGATTAAGTTATAGTTATTGTTACACATGAATCAAGGACTTGAAAGAAACAATATTGAATAATATCCAGTGTAATAGCAATGGTGGTAAAATAAATAGTTTGAATATTAACATCATTTCAAATTCCTGAGTTTCCCTGATTACTGGACAGACTTGGTTCCCTGAAGTTTAAATTCCTTAGATTATTACACAACGCACACAAGGCCTTTACGACTTGCCTACAAGCTACCACTCAGTAAGACTTTATTTTCTTTTACTGTCCTCCCATGCTGCCATCACTCAGAATTTTACAATGTTCCTTAAAATTTTCATTCTCTTTCACCATCACATCATGTCTTTGTATGTTGCTAATGTCCTTGGTGTCTCTTTCTTCCTGACATACTCCTTCATACTTGAAGTACTACCTCATCTGAGAAGCTTTTTTCTCTTTTTCTTTTTTTGAGACAGTTTTACTCTGCTGTCTAGGCAGGAGTGGCATCATCATAGCTTGCTGCAACCTCGAACTCCTCGGCTCAAGCCAATTCTCCCACCTTAGCCTCCAGAGTAGCTGGGACCACAGGCATGTGTCACCATGCTTGGCTTTTTTTTTTTTCCCTCTATTTTGAGTGGAAACAAGGTCTCGCTATGTTATCCACGCTGGTGTCGAACTCCTGAGCTCAAGCGACCCTCTCATACTGGTCTCCCAAAGTACTGGGATTACATGAATAAGCCGCCATGCCCAGTCCCTGAGAGGCTTTTCTAACTCTCCCAAACAATTATTTACTTTACTGGCAACACAGCAATAAACAAAAACAAACAAGAATTCCCACTTTTGCAAAGCTTACAATCTATTTCTCGTGGACTGTATGTTTTTAGGTCAGCCTACCCAACTTTTCGAATGCAAGAACTATATCTTCCGATCTTTGAATCCCTACTCCCTACCACATATAAGTGCAATAATTTTTTACTTTTACTTAATATCTATATTTGAGTAGGAGTCCAGCTTAACCATTTGAAAAACAATTTCAGGCTGTGAAGATACGGAGGAGAAAGTAAAAACAAACATTAACCAAAAACTAAACGCATTTCATAGTTTATAACTGGAAAAAGATAATCACAGATTAAAAAAATGTATGAATGCCAATAAAATTAAGGATTCTTTAAGAACAATCTGTATGTAAAAAATATAGAAGCGTGGAATATGCTAAGATAACGGCAACAATTTGTCTTTAGTGTATGGCTTACCATGTTATGTATTAAAGATCAAGTGTATTTTAAAAACAACCCATATACAAAATGTCAGAATCTCACCCTATTCCAGTTTTCCTGCTAGCTTCTTTCCTTCTTGAGAAAGTCACCAACAATTTTATAATCTAATTTGAAACAAAAGTTACGTTGACTCCAACATAATCACTCATTAAAACTGGTCAAAGACACAAATACATATGGAAATCTTAAAGTGTTACACAGAGGGTAAAATATCATCTACAGTTGTAATCACATTTCATATATATATGTATGTATTTTTTTTTTTTTTCTTTTTTAGACGGAGTCTCACTCTGTCACCCAGGCTGGAGTGCAGTGGCGCCATCTCGGCTCACTGCAAGCTCCATCTCCCAGGTTCATGCCATTCTCCTGCCTCAGCCTCCCGAGTAGCTAGGACTACAGGTGGCCACCACCACGAATGGCTAATTTTTGTATTTTTAGTAGAGATGGGGTTTCACCATATTAGCCAGAATTTTAAAATACATTTTTTAAAAACTTGAATTGAATTTTTGATTCCACAGATAAATTACAAGTTTTTCTTTTTTCCCCTAGGGATAATTTCTGGGAAATAAAAACTCCTTTTTTCCTTTCTTTCGCAACACAAACTTGAAGGAAGAGCTTGGGCATTTGCCTTGGAACTTTTTTCATATTAATAATGAAATACATCTGTGTTGTGATTCTGAATGAATTCTTTAAAAATGTTACCCTTCGGCTGGTGTGGTAGCTCACACCTGTAATTCCAGCACTTTGGGAGACCAAGGCAGGAGGATGGCTTGAGTCCAAGAGTCCGAGACCTGCTTGGGCAACTGAGGGAGACCCCATCTCTACAAAAAACAAAAACTAAACATTAGCTGGGTGTGGTGGTGTGTCCCTGTGGTCTCAGCTACTCTGAGGGCTTGAGGCGGGAGGATCACTTCAGTCTAGGAGGTCAAGGCTACAATGAGCCGTGTTTGTGCCACTGTACTCCAGCCTGGGCAACAGAGTAAGACTCTGACTCAAAAACAAATTTAAAAACCCTAAAAAATGGAGCAAAAATGGTCACCTCCTTTTGTTGTTGTTTTAACTAAACTCTGAGTCTTTAGGCATACTTAGAAGTCTATCAATGGCTTCACAGCTATGTGACCCTCACTACAGAAAATTATTTACAATTAATTAGTTATTGAGATATTTTGGGATTTACTAACCTAAACAGTTACTGACATTCCTATTAGCACATACATTCCTCAGACACATACATCAGTGATCATAAATCTATAATATGCTTAATGGGCAGTATGAAAAACATAACATCAAAAAGTAAAAACAGATTTTCAAATTATGAGCATGACAATTTTTGAAGGCTTCCTATCTTTTCCCCTCTCAAAAAAAAAAAAAAATGCATTCCCATAAATTCACCTCGGACCATACAGAATATATAAAAAACTGTAACTTGTACTCTGGAGTTTCCGTATAGCATAAGAAATTCATGGACAGCAAATGTGATGGATCACTAACAGCATACAAATACAAAAAATAAACATGAGGAAGGCAACTCTGGAATTTTCTCATTTCCAAAGTATTATACATTTTCTTCCCTATTTATTAAAATTCACATTATGTATACATTCCTATCCATTGGCAGAAATACCTGTTGAAGTTCCCAAATGTAGGCCTATTATCATAATACACATAATTGAAAAGCAAAATCTGCAAACAAAACAGTGATATATACGCTCCAGAAGTTGAACACCAGGTCCTATATCATAAATGCAAGCAAGTTACATTGCTTATGAGTATGTTCAAAAATGATTCTTAAATTCATTGCAATCTCTCTTAATATTTGTTAGCATAAGCAAAACCAGACATACTCTCCACATTTTTTACATTTTAAACTTAACTATTAATAACAAAATTTATCTTAATAAAGCCATCTTGAGTATTCTGAGATAAAAGGATTACATCATGCTTAATATTTTTTAAATGCAGGTAAGTTGCCTTTATGTTTATTAAGTGAAAAATAATGAATAAATTATCTTAGAATTTCAAAGAAAAAACAAAAAAATTCTCTTACAATTTCTATCTGAAAATCCTAGAAAGCAACCAGTAAAATAAGTCTTTGAAACGTTACGTGACAAAACTGCTAATTTGCAAATTTCAACATAGACTATACTAGTACCTTCATGAATTGTAAGGACATAAGGTGCTTACATCAGTTTAGATCACCAGTATAAAGAAAGCTGTTTAAGTTAGTCAGAAAAAGTTAAATATTCTATCACTCTATCAGGTAATTCAAAGTCATAGGAAAAAATACAGTTTTAATGAGAGAGCAATCAGGTTTGTTATTAAACGAAACACTTCATAAAAGAGAAATATAAATCAATGTCAGAAATACAATTTGTTTCTCCCAATGCAAGTCAGAAAATAAATAAATGGAGAATGACACAAACTAAAAAATGAATTAAAAATTTTACAGATAAATCTGTGGTTATTTCAAATGTCTAAATTATTTTCTATTCCGAAAAATACATTTTTTTTAAAAGAATATACATTTTTCAAAACAGTTTTAGATTTACAGATAAAAAATGAGTGGCAACTACAAAGAGTTTCCATACATCCCTTTCCCCCTCCCTACCAGTTTCCCCAATTATTAACATATTGTATTAGCATGGTACATTCACTACAATTAACAAGCTCATATTGATACAGTATTGCTAAAGTCCATAGTTTACATTAGGGATCACTGTTTATGTAGTGCCTTCTATGGGTTTTGAGAAAGTATAATGACACATATATAACATTACAGTACCATACAAAATAGTTTCACATCTTTATTCTCTGTGCTTGCTTCCACCTATTCAT